TTCGTCAGCGGCATTTTGACTGAGCGATTCGACCGCTTTAGTCTGGACTCTGACCGCAATCGGTACTTCGGGAAGTCGAGTCACTTCGATCTTATCAACAAAGCAATAGAGATCAAAGAGCTCACCGAGGACTGTGATTCGCTACCCAAGAAGATCCTTCCTCCCTCGAAACGACCCGAATTTTGGTTAAGCCCCGTATGTCCTCAGCTAACGACCTCATATTCTTTCTAATCACTTGCCAGTGGGAGCACGAGCATCTCTCTCCGCCAGAAGTGTTTCGTTCCCTGATATTTCCAGAGCCGGACCTTCTTCAGAGTCTCGTTTCCCTCTACTTTTCCAAAGTTAATGTTCTCATATGCCTCCTCCATCGGCCCACCTTCGAGAAGTCCCTCGCTTCTGGTCTTCACCTGGTCGATTCTCAATTCGGTTCCACGGTCTTGGGTGTATGCGCTGTGGCAGCAAAATATTCTGCCGACCCTCAGGTTTTCCTGGAGGGAACCAATACGGGTTTAAGCTCAGGCTGGAAATATTTCCGTCAGCTCCAGCCTCTTAACAAGCCATTGTTGAGATCTGTCACGCTTTACGAGGCCCAGACGCTATGTGTACGGTTCTTTGTCTTGACCACCATGATTTTGACATCTGTCTCCAGTTATGCGTCTTTTATCTTCAAGGTTCGTCGGCGCCAGACGGGTGTTGGACCCTTGGTGGCGCTGGAGTGCGCTACGCTCAAGAAGTCGGTGTCCATCGGCGAAATCGACACGAGGATAAATTCGTGGAGGAACAATGGAAGCGCGTGTTTTGTGAGCTTAGATTCTCCTGTCACTCTCAGTTATTGATACGTTTTCGAACAACAGGGGTTCTGATCTGTATTGATACACTTGCGAGTTCGTTTTGCGGAAGGCCCAGGGCAACCACTTCCGATGAGTGTGTCAAATTGCCTTTCGCGTTTTATCTTCTGTATCTGATTTCCTTCGAGCTATGACCTGGATTACCCTGCCGAGTGTGACGATGAATATTGGGAACCCTCAGATCCCACTATGGCGTTCAAGCAACCGGCTGGGAAGCCCTCCTTGCTTTCGTATTCAATAGCGTACCTGAAGCTGATAGAGATACTTGGGATGGCCCAAAAGACCATTGTCGGTCACAGTTTTGTTAGGAACTCCCATTTCTGATTTTATTCTCTTGGCAGTATCGGACAAAGGACAAAACCAAGGAATGGACACAAGAAGCTGTAACCAATCTCGAGTAAGGGTTTTCTACCTCATATACGCAGTGGTCTTTTCCTAACATATTTCCAGTTCTGCTCTCAACGCGTGGATTGACACGATACCTGAGCACTGTATGTATGCTCCATTGCCATTTCGCTTCCCGTTAACATTTCCAGTGCGATGGGATCCACACATGGAAGACCCTACCTTTGCAACGCAGAGCGCGGTCCTCTACGCCTGCTACTATCATGGTTGGTCCATTCTGTCTTCCGGCTGCCCTGAGCTTGAACGCCTTCTAGTTCAGATCCAGATTCACCGTATCCATATTGTTCCTCCTGCGAAGGACAGCCCGTCATGCGGCATGTCATTAGAATATGTGCGAATATTTCGATTGGGGTCAAGGTTTGAGCTGAAACTTTTCGTTAGGATTATCCGTCGCTGGCTATATGCGCCAGTTCTGCGCGGGCCTGTAGTCACGTTATGGACGTAGCGTCCCGACGAGGTTTTCTATGCAACCCTCATATCTTGGTATTTCTGGTTTTTCCACTGCGGAACAGCATCATCTGACTATCATCGACGTGTTAGAACGCAGTCTTCGATTCCTGCATTGTACTTTTGCTAAACGTTTGGGGTGGGCGCAAAGTGGGACTTACTGTCGATCCCAACAAATGTCTGAAAGACGTGGACATCTGCTTGCGTGTCTTCAAGGCTTATGAGTCAAGGTCAGTCCCTTCGTACCGGAGGATATTACTTGGACCCACGTTACTACATAGATGGCAAATTGCGGGTCGCCAACAGTACGTCGAGCAGTAGTTTCTCGGGTCGGCGCTGACTCCGATCTACAATTCAGTGATATCATTACCGAACTCATGGGCGCGACGAATATGGACCTGCAGTACACCCCAAACCCTTTGAAGCGCGGAGCGGATTGCGAACCGGATCGCGATCCGGAGCCATCTACGAATGGTAACAGTCCAGAATCGCCGCAAGTTGCCCAAACAACTTTCGTTTCTGACATGACCATTCTCAACATGGACCCCCTCCTTTCGCTTCCAATGTACACTGAGGATTTGAGTCGTTTGCCCGTGTACGAACCCTTGAACTGGAGTGAAGACTCGCACAATGGCCTATTACTGCAGAATACTGATCCGCTGTTCCCGGATTTAACCGGTATCTTTTTTTCTTTCTTTGATGCTCCCACTGACTCGATGTATCAAGGCCTGGATACCAGTGGATTACATGATTCCATGGCCGTATTAACCGGAACTCCGGCAGGATACGAGTATGTCTTGAGCCTTCTTTTGTTGCCGAAATATTTATGCGATTCTAGCTGGGACGATTGGGGCAAGTATATTACGAGCGTGGAGGGGCTCATGCATTCTTTGGATAACTCTACTTAGAGCACGCGTAGATTTGCGAAATTTGTACTATTATGCGCAGCAAAATTTTCAGTTGTGATGTATATATCCCAGTTCATTTCTTGCTCCCTCCGCATTAAACATAGCCCATAAAATGATGCTATAAAGGTGGTGCGGTCTCAGACTCTAAGAATTAGGGATAACTGGTAAGTATTCATTCGAGCTTATAATATATTCATATTCAAGGTCCATTCGCAGGCACGGTGCATCAGATCCATTCTCCATTCAGTGCTTCAGGCAACATGTTCACTTCCTCTCCACCCCACAGCTCCCTGAAGATCTCGTGCACATCAAGCACCTCGTCTTCCTCTCCCGCCTCCGCCAGCGCTGAACAACCGGAATATATATGAGATGACGCATTTGAGAAATCAAATCACCTACCTTCGCCTCGGCCATCCCCCAACGTTTGCTCAAGGCCGGATTCACCCCTTCGAACGGCAACTAGCAACAGCTCGACGCCCTTATAGTCCAGCATCTCGGGACGCGCACACGGCGCGAAACGCAACCCCGTCGGTTCCCGCCCCCGTTTTCCTTTCCCGAACACACCATCCATGATAGCGGGCGGGTAGGCGACATGCTTGGTCGTCGATGCACCGCTGTCGCTGGCGGGACTTTCTGGGTTCTTCACTTGCAGCACAAACGCAGCGCTGCGGTGGATGCCGAGGGCGGTTTGGACGGGCCCAAATTCGGATGGCGCGGGGTGCGAGAGGCTGTACCCAAGGTACGTCGTTTCTTGGGACTGTTTTTCGGTGTCGTTATTCACGATGGCGTAGCACCCGCGAGCCACGATGCGCGCGGGGGGCTCGTGGCGCGTACCTAGGGTGGCATATTAAGTTTCAGAATAGTCTATGAAAAGAATGGCTTGCCACGCGTCTTGGTCTCGTATGTCTTTTCACCCAATCCCTTCTCCAAATTGTCGAGATCATCGCCGACCGCCGTGACCGTGGCCCAGAAACTCTCTTTGCGCCCTCCGCGAGTCGACTGTGGGTCTGGGAGTGTCTTCTTGCCTATGGTGATCAGGCGGTAGTGCTTCTCCGACGTATCCAACGACGCTGGAGCGGGGACAGCGTCTTCTCCCGGCTCCAGTAATTCCATGTCATTCGAACCCGCCTCGGCCGAGGTGTCAGCTGCACTGAACTTTGGAGGCCGGGGCACGAGGAGCATGTGCAGATTTTTCACATCTTCCAGAGATGTGGGCGAATCCATCTGGACGCGAGGACGGAAGAAAAAGTAGATGTGTCCGCGCTCAGTCGTTCCTGTCAGCGAAGTTGAATACAAAGCCCTGCTCAAACCAACCGTGATTCTCACCCAGGTAGCGGACGGCATCTTCACCCTTCCGCGCATTTTCTTCTTCAGGTGTTTCGATCTTGACCTTTTTCGTCGGTGGTTCTGAATCCTCGACTTCCGGCTGAGTCGAATCTTGACCGTTGCTCTCCGGGCTGCCAGTGGGCTTCAAACTGGAGTTTTCTGGCGCTGGACGCTTTGTGAGATTATCGGGAGCCTCCGCTGCCTCTTTATTTTCCTCCTCTAAAGCTTCTTGTTTTCGGGTAGTGACCATGGAGCAAGTTGTGGACAAGTTGTGGATCCAGAGTTGAACGGCATCATTCATGACGTCACCAAGCACAGCCACCCCCTATACCTACCAGCTACGACTCTCTCGCAATGGCTGTCTGGCTCAAGCACAACTTTCGAAAGAACATGAAAAGGAGAAGAAACAAAAAACATTGGTGGTCGAATATTATGCCCTCGGAGGGAATTGAACCCTCACCTCCCACCAGCGAGCAAACGTTCCAACGTATAGTAGGTGGGTGATCACCATGATCCACAACGGCTTTCTACCCTCTATTCGAGCCGAAATAACTTTCAAACAACATCTTTGTGTGCAACGATCTTGTTGATTGCGAACAACATTATTTCGACCTCCTACAGATTCTGATGTGAATTCAAAGTTTTGGCCAAAATTTGGACCAGCAAATTTGTGATTATTCCAAGGAAAAAAATCCAGTTTCCAACGCATGCCTTCGGAGGGAATCGAACCCCCACCTTCCACAAGCATGTGAGTGTCCCAAGACTTCCCTACAGCAAGTGGGTGATCTCCATGATCCACAAAGACTTTCTACCCTCTATCCGAGCTGAAATAAACCAGACGCTTAGAGACAGCTCTGTCAAATGACTTTATTGATTGCAGACAATATCTACCCTCTATTCTAACCAAAATAAGCTGCAAACAAAGTCTTGTGCATCGGTCATGTTGATTGTGAACAACATTATTTCGACCTCCTACAGATCCTCATGTGAATTTAAAGTTCTGGCCAAAATTTGGACCAGAAAATGTGTGATCATTCCAAGGAAAAAATCTAATATTTACAGTGTATGCCCTCGGAGGGAATCGAACCCCCACCTCCCACCAGAAAGCAAATGTTTCAACTACAGCAAGTGGGTGATCTCCATGATCCACGAAGGCTTTCTACGCTCTATCCGAGCTGAAATAAACCAGACGCTTAGAGACAGCTCTGTCAGATGATTTTGTTGATTGTAGACAATATCTACCCTCTATTCACGCCAAAATAAGCTTCAGACAAGCTTGTTTATTTCGACCTCCTACAGATTCTCATGTGAATTCAAAGTTCTGGCCAAAATTTGGACCAGCAAATGTGTGATCATTCCAAGGAAAAAAATCCAGTATCCAACGCATGCCTCCGGAGGGAATCGAACCCCCACCTCCCACAAGCAAGTATATTATATCAACAATTATATACTATCTGGGAGGGGGAACCTGGCCACCGTGAGGTTTTGGTCTTTTAGTAGCCGTCTTGAGTACCTCACTCAGGATGTATGGGCACCACGAAATGGGCGCGCTTCTTGCGAACAGTTTGAGCCTAGTGGGAGCCATTTTGAATGCATCTTCGTGGCGCAGTGAATTTATTTCTGTCAGAGTTCCCGAAAAGGGAATTGACGGGGTACCTGGCCACCTGTGCAAACTGTCGTTTACAGCTGCAGCGTTGGACTTGAAGTGTGGGATTATGTTCAAGTGTCATAAGCGGTCCTTTTTGAACACTATAACGCTACAAAGTAACGATGAATGTGGTGGAATAAAATGCTTCTAATGAGAGGTATCAACACAAAAATCAGTGATGCCAAAGAAACGAGGCCCGCGTGCCAGCCAGAGAACTTTGTGAACCAAAGTGAGTTGTAGGCGTGCTCATAAGAAGTGAATGAACACCCCTAGATATACAAACCTACTCCTATGTCATGATCCTGAGAACCCGACGTTTGAACTTTTATATGACAAATATTAGGCAAATATGGTGTCCAAGACGGACCAAGGGAGGTATTGAGAAGATAAAATTCTCCAATATGTTGTAAGTGTAGGCCCTCCATATGAAGATGGACCTTGACAATTGCCAGACACTGATGGTCAAATGGGCATTTGATATGAGGGTCGTCCCGTTGCAGTCCTCATGGTTGAATGACACTCATTTTCACGAGTCCACTGACGAAGGAGGGAGGATATAGAGCCAATTGGATAACCAGAGGGAAGCCTGCTAGCAGGCAAGAAGAACGATCCCCCAAAGTCGTGAAATGATGAAGAATTGGTGAAGAAAGGAGCGAAACGGCGATTCGGGGATAAGAAATTAATATTCCCACCCTGTGGCTCGACATCATTTGCGACACCGCTTAACATCAACTCATCAGGTTCAGCTGAAAATTGGCAAGAACAGGCGGCTTAGGTTGTATTCCACCCCCCGAGAACCAAAATGACATATGGCTAAGTAACTAGGCTTATAATTGGCAAGTGGCCAGGTTCCTAGTCCGGCCAGGTTGGCAGTCACAGATAGTAGCAAGTGGGTGATCTCCATGATCTACAAAGGCTTTCTACCCTCTGTCCGAGCTGAAATAAAGCAGACGCTTGTCAAATGACTTTGTTGATGGCAGACAATATCGTGGCGCCACAATAATTATCACACAGCGCGCTCGGACTGCCATTGGTAGGGTGTGGTTGGATGGGTGTGAATCAAGTGGCTGAATGTCGTGTGACTTGCGGCCAGAAAAAGGATTTAACGAAATCAAAAACCCCCGCAGATTGCATGCCCTCGGAGGGATTCGAACCCTCGCCTCCCACAAAGAAGTCACGGTGAATTCTTATAATTCGTGGATGATCTACCACTGATCTACAAGGGCCATAGTAGGCAGGGTGTCCAGTGGAATATGAGGGCAAGCTGTGAATGATAATGATGCGTGCTTGCATCGGGGACAAGCAAAAGAAATAAGAAAGAGAAATACAAAAAAATATTCACAGCCTCGACTTCTCGATTGAGTCAAAACGTGAACTACCGCTGAAGTATTGAGCTATATATGCGAAAAGGACAAAGACATAAAAAAGTCTATTGTCAAATCTAATGTCCTCGAGGGGATTCGAACCCCCGCCTCCCACCAACATCCTATAAAAGTCTGACAAAAGCGGTGGGTGATCTACCACTGATCTACAAGGGCAATAGCTGAGAGGGTCTCAAGTGGAATGTGAGGGCCACCTGTGAATGAGCCTGTGGCATCGAGGAAAAGCAAAATAAAAAAATCTCGAAAAAAAAGCACGTTGAATTCCGGCAACGCCCTTGAGGGGGTTCGAACCCCTGCTTCCCATCTATGCACGCGGTCCAGTATGTATACACAGTGGGCGATCTACCGCTGATCCACAAGGGCACTGAGATGCAAGGACAGATGTATTATTCGTGTGTGCAGTGTCAAGGACGCGTGGGTGCCAAAAAGTACACACAGGCAGAGACAGTGCCTTTGAGGGGATTCGAACCCCTACCTCCCACGAAACGCCAACGCGCATTTTAATGACTTGTAGGCGATCTACCACTGATCTACAAGGGCAGCCAGGGTCTCAAGTGACATGAGAGCAAACTGATAGGAATGAGGCTTGATTTAATTAATTTGCCGTCGATAAACGGTTTGGACGACATTCCGAGGACTAGAGCACTCTGTACTTGCTCTGTACTATATTGATATAAATCCACTCCAAAGACCACCCCAGCGCGTGTTCACCGCTGATGCCTCGAGGCGCGTGAAACACGGGGATCTAGGCAGGCCGTGATACGCGGAGGTATAGTTGGACGCCGGTGGGTGCAGTGCCAGCGGCGTGTGAGCGGAGGCGGAGGATGTAGGAGAGGTACAGGGCAACCAAGGGACAGACAATCTGCATGGAATTAGAAGAGGAAGAGAAGGAAAAGAAGGATGGACCCTGCACAGTGGATGGTCCGTGCGCATGATGATCAGTTGTGTAATTTATGATGGGGCTTCTGTGCTCTTTTCTTATTGAGCCTTGACGTGTCTTGTAGCCATTTTTCGTTCGTTGTTGTTCTTCCCCTTCTCCCTTTTGTGCGTGTCTTTTTTTGCACCCCACACTCGTTTCAAGGCGCCCCGACCAACACACTCGCTACTTTCGACGTTTTTCTAACGTTTTGTCCCTCCCCTTCCCCTACGTACGCTACTTTTCATCCGATGGACGAATCCCAGGCAGCCTTTGCGCAGCCGTACCCCCCATATTCGTTTGATATCGACATGATGAAGGTGTGCAACCGTCTTTCTTGTTGCTAAGCAATATCGCTAACCTCCTTTTTTTACCCTTCTCCTTTTACCAGCGATCCATGGACGCAGCCGGGGGCCCCGACTCGAAAAAAGCCCGCTGGTCTCCCACCTCCTCCTCGCTCCCTGCCCCGCCCTCTGTCGGAGCAGCGCCCGGTGCCTCCCCCCGCGACGTCTACGCAAACTACGGCTACGGCGCACAGGCCCAGGCCTCGTTCCAGCAGCAATCCCCCGCCCAGCCGTTCGGCCAGAGCCCGCTCTACTCCACCCCCCAGCTGTCTATAAACACCCAGACGAACGGCGCCCAGCTCAGCCCCAACACCCTCGCCTCGTTCCAGCAGCAGCAACAACAGCAGCAGCAGCAACAGCAGCAACAGCAGCAGCAGCAGCAGCAGCAGGCCCAGAGCCCCGTCGCAGGCTCGCCGTACTCCCAGTTCAACCCCTACAACATGCTCGCGATGGGCTCGTTCCCGTATCCCCAGCAGAACTTCCAGGTGCGTTGTCGTCTGCTCCCGTGTCTTTTGCGATAACGCTGACGGACCCCTCAGGGCGGCCAGTTCACGCCCCAGCGCCTCCCGACGCTCAACATCCCCGCCGCGCAGGCGGTCTACAACCCCTCCGCGCTCTCCGGCATTCTCTCCGCCGGCGGCGCCTCCCCCGCCGCCGGGCGCACAGTCTACATCGGCAACCTGCCCCCCTCGGCATCCGTCGACGAGCTGCTCAACCTCGTGCACTTTGGCCCGCTCGAGTCGATCCGCGTGCTCCCCGAAAAATCCTGCGTCTTCCTGTCGTTCCTCGACGCGCAGACCGCCGGCGCGTTCTTCGCTGACGCGGCGCTGCGCAAGCTCACGCTGCACGCGCAGGAGCTCAAGGTCGGCTGGGGCAAGCCCAGCCCCGTCCCCGCGCAGGTCCTGCAGGCCATCGCGCAGAGCGGCGCTTCTCGTAATGTGTATCTGGGCGGGCTGGAGGAAGGGCTGACGGAGGAGGCGCTGCGCGACGAGCTCAGCAAGTTCGGGCTCATCGACCAGGTCAAGATCGTGCGCGACAAGAATATCGGATTCGTGCACTTCCTCAGCATCAGCGTCGCCACCAAGGTATGTCTCCTCCGCTTTTTGTCCGTCACGCTGACGCTCCATGCGCAGGTCGTCAACACGCTCCCCACGGACCCCGCGTGGGCGGGCAAGCGCGTCAACTACGGCAAGGACCGCTGCGCCTACGTGCCCAAGTCGCAGCAGGCCGCCGCGCACCAGGCCCAGGCCGCCGCCGCGCAGTCGCTCATGCAGTCCTTCGCCTCCCCGCTCACCTCGCACCCCGCCTCCAACCCCTTCGCGTCACCCATCACGGGCCAAAATCCCTTCGCGCACCACAGCCCCGCGTCCGCGCACCCCGCGTCCGCGCACCCCGCGAACGCCGGCCAGAACCCGATCCTCTCGGGGCAGGCGCAGGCGCAGCTGCAGCAGCAACAACAGCAGCAGCAGCAGCAGCAGCAGCAACAGCAGGGACAGCAAGGGCAGCAGGGAGGGCAGCAGCAGCAACAGAATGGGCAGGGGGGGAGCCCGAGCGGGTATGCGCCGTATACGCCGGCGCCGTTCAGTCCGGACGCACTGAGCGCGATGATGGGGATGGGGATGTTTGGGGGGATGGGCGTTGGGGGGATGGGGGCGATGGGGATGAGCCCGATGAGTCCTGGGGCCGGGATGGGGATGTTGGGTGGGATGGGTGAGTTTTTCGTGCTGTCGACTTGTTTTTTCGTCATCCTTCCATTCGTCCTTGTCGTCGCTCGTCTTCCTTCCTCCCGCTCGTTCTTCCCCCCTCCCTCTCCGTGTCATTTTTCCCCCCTCCAAGCTTTTCCACTCTTAGTATTACCTTATCTTCCGCCATACCTTCGTCCCTCTTCATCGTCCTCCCCCTTCGTCCTGCGCTGTCCATGCCCACTGTCACCTTCCTCCACCTTCCTTCCTCCCTCCCTTCTTATCGGCCGCACCTCTCCGCTGTTCTCCACCCTTCCGCTCCTTATCATTACCTTGTTTTCCCTCTTCCCCCACCGTTCGCCCTCGCCTCCGTCATCTTCCTTCACATCTCCCATCTCTCCCTCGCTCGCCCTGCTGCGCTGTCCCCCGGCTTCCCGTCGTGGCTGTCCCCAACGCCTCTTTCCTCCCCTTTATCCTTCATTTCTGCTCCTTGCTCCCTCCTGCGCCTCGGCGTCGCTTCTTCCTTCATTCTTCTCCCGTCCCTCCGCTCTCCACCCCCCGTCGTCCTCAGTCTTTCGTCTCTCTGCGCCGTTCTTTACTTTGCCCTCCTTATCCGTCTTTGTCCCTTCGTCCCGCCCCCTCACTCACCATCGTCTCTCCTCGTCCATCGTCCATCGTCCCCTCTCCTCTTTCTGCATATCCGACCGCCTCTCTCGTCTCTCCGCCCTTCTTTCGTTCTTCCTCCACGCGGCGTCTTTGTCGTCTTCCCCACCGTCCTTCCGTTCTTATTTGCTTTGCTTCCGTCATCTTTCCTCCCCGTCCCTTCTTCTGCCCTCCTTCGTCCCTCCTCCACGCGTTTCTTTGTCCTCCTCTCCTTTGTCCTCCGTCCATTCTTCTTTCGTTCCCCGCCATTTCTGCGCCTGAGCGCCGTTCCTCACTTATCTCCTCCTCCTCCCTCTCCCTCTTGTTTCTCCTCCCTTATCTTACTAACCCGTTCCCCCCCCAGGTCTCGGCATGGCCGGCGGCAACCGCACCGTCTACCTCGGCAACATCCACCCCGAGACGAGCACGGAGGACCTCTGCAACGCCATCCGCGGCGGCGTGCTGCAGAGCGTAAGGTATATGGCGGATAAGCATATTGCTGTGAGTTTTCTTCTTCTCATTTCACCTCTCTTTGTTTTTGTCTTGTGGGGACCCGCTTTTGGGAAGGTCATGAGGCGTGTGGGGGGGCGTGTTTTGGTCCTTCGCAGTTTTTCTTTTCTTTCTTGCGGAGCTCGGGGGATTCGGGGGCTTTCATGTCCTTGCCTCCGCTCGCGTTGTCGACGTCCTTCGGGACCTTTCCTTTCCTTCGCATGGGTGGCCTCGACCGTCTTGTTTTGTGGGATGCTTTGGCAAAGATATTCGGGACGCACGAGGGGATCATAGGGAGGACGATGGTGGTGTCGTCCTGCCTGTCGTCTTGCGCCGTTCGAAGGCGACGATGTCGGGTGCTCGTGCGTTCTCCCTTCTATCATGACATACCCTACTCGGGCGGGCGATGGCCTCGCGCGAGCTCCGTCGCTCCCAGATCTCTTCTCCATATTGGGAGGGAGGTTCCACCCAGTGTCGTCGACTTTGGACGTCGTTTCGTGTGCCGGGAGGAATGGGGGCAGGTGCGTACCGTCCCCGGTGCCTCCTTTTTCCTTCGCTGCTCTTCTACTCGGGCGGGCGATGACGTGGCAGGCGATGGTTCGTCCGCGGCCAGCGTGGCGGGGATGGCATCCTAGTCGTCGTCGTGTGCTGCGTGGAATGGGACAGACAGTTCCTCCTTTCTTCATTGTCCTTTATGTGTCGTCTCGCCATGGCCCTGCGTCCCTCCCGCCGCCCTGCTCTGTTGCCGATGACCGCGTCCTCTCCGTTATACACGAGCTCTCTCATTTTACCTCATCTTTCACGTTCCTCTCACTAACGCCTTTTACAGTTCATCACCTTCATCGACCCTGCGGCGGCCTTCACCTTTTTCCAGGTGTCGTCATATCAGGGCCTCACGCTCAACAACCGCCGCCTCAAGGTCGGTTGGGGAAAGAACTCGGGCCCGCTTGCGCCCACGCTCGCGCTTGCCGTTCACGCCGGCGCGACGCGCAACGTGTACATTGGAAACGTCGAGGACTTTGAGGTCTTCAGTGAGGAGCGCCTCAAGGCCGACTTTGGCGAGTTTGGTGACATTGAGCTCGTCAACTTTTTGAAAGAGAAGTACGTGTTCGTGTCTTCCTTCTCAGCCTCGTGCTAACCACGCCGCACAGGAACTGCGCGTTCGTCAACTTTACGAACATCTCGAACGCTATCAAGGCGATCGACGCAATCAAGAACCGGCCGGAGTACGCGAACCTGCGTATTGCGCACGGGAAGGACCGCTGCGCTAATCCGCCGCGGTCGGGGCCACAGGGCGCCAGTGGGGCGCGCCGCAGCGGGAGTGGGAATGGGCCGAACTCGGCGGAGCCCGTCAGCGCGGTGGAGCCCGAGGGCGAGATGGATTTTGATGTGGAGGCGGCGCAGGCGGAGGCGGAGGGCGCGGACGGAGCGTTGGTGAAGCAGGAGCCGCAGGAGGAGGGGATGGCG